CCCCAAAACCCCAAAACCCCAAAACCCCAAAACCCCGTAAGAGATTTTCTTGCTGAAATAATAACTTACATCTCAGAAATTCATATTTATTAAGAATTATAGCTTTTCGGATATAAATAAAATTAAAAAGCCTTAGTATAGTCTAATTCTGAAGAGTAAATCTTTAGCGTGTTCAAAGCTTAATAATCAAAATTCTAATGTATCCCTCTTCATTTTATCCATTCTCGTCTTTTCTATCAAAATATTGTATAAACTTTCATATGTCATAATAAAGCCTAGTATAGGGAAAACCAAATTATATGTCAATAAAAAGAGTTTACAACCACTCTAGCTAATCTCGAGATAAATCGAGCCTCTAAGATAAATACAGAGCCATCCAGTTGCAGTTATTTTCGTCTTCGTCATTGAAATTTTCGCCTACAAAGCTCATTATTTAAGCTCGAAGTATTTTCTCTTGGAAAATTTGTATCTATTAAGAATTAATTCAAATATTCCATTTTCTTAAAAATACTGTTAAAATCACCTGTAAAATTATTAGGGAGATATAGAATTAGAATTTGTTCATACTCTATCTCCATTACCTGAAGTAGGCATCATGAAAAGTCCCTAGAAGCAAACTATTGTATAAGGAGATTTCATTAAATTACTTAATTATAAAGATTTTGGTATTAATTTACTCCAATTATGCCCTTTCTCTGGCTCCAAACTCGAAGTGTACTATCCTGAATGAAAGCTAAGATAATGAAGCTATACTTAGTATGGGCTTTAAAAATTACCATAGACTCCCAAGACTTCCTCTTCTTTTATTTGTATACTTAATCTAGACTATTGAGCATGAAAAGGCAGAAGTTCTTCAAACTTGTTAAAATAGTTGACTACGTAATAATAAAGAAGCTGGCTAAATTATCAGAAATACTAATTAAAAGGGCACAGATGGAAGCATAGTCTTAGGGTGCAAATAAGTTCACTCCTCTTTAAAATGTGTCTAACCCTCATCCATACATTTCTCCCTAGCCCTTAAAGCTAAACTTCTAATCCTCTATCACAATAATAGTTTATACAAAGTTAACGAATAGAATTCTATTTTTACAATATTATGGAACCAGCACTAGGCCTTCCAAAGTTTAGAGATTTAACCTAATGTTTTAATACCACCCACCAGTCATTCTTATAGAAGAAATATTGAGAAAAGAATCGACTGAGACTAAAGTTTAGCATTCTCGTATGTTATTAAGCTTAAACCTAAAAATTATCAAATAAAGATGGACTAGAAGCAAAAGATCTCCAAGAAAGTAGCACTTAGTACAACAATTATGAGTAAATTAATAAAAGCGTGTTGAGTCTTATCGGAATAGATAGCTTTGCGGATGAGTCTTAGGGTTGGGGCTTCTGTTTGGCAAATGTACTCAAGATTCTAAATCTACTCCTTTCCATCGGTGAACGGGAGCGACTCATTTCAGTGTTGTTTCTATTCTTCCTTGTTTTTCTTCTCTTTGAGATGACTATAAAGAGTTTAGAAAACATTAAATGGAAATAGTGTAAGAAGATTCAAATTGATTAGAAATCTAGGTGAAAAATCTACATTAAATAAAAAGGATACTTACATCTTTTGCTCCTTCTAAACTTGCTTTTGGGTTTAAAAAGGGAAAATTTAGCCTCAGTAGCTTGTGAAGCTGGGCTTCCAAGACCCCCTGATGCTGAGGACTCACAGTTTACTGTATTCCTAAAGGAGAACAAACCCTCTTCTAAAGTAGGCTCAACTGAGTTACGCTTGCAGAAAGGCTCCATCTCTGTTGCTCTTATCTTCAAAGACTTGCGATGCTCAAGCTTAACTCTTCCCTTGTTATGCACAAGAGGATTTGATATCTGTTTTGTGACCTTAGTAGAGTAGATAGGATGAATATTAGTTATCTCCTTTCCGGCAAGATCATCACCAAGATCACACTCTTCAAGAGCAGAATGCCTTGAAGAAGCATCTCTCAACAATTTCTTCCTTTCACATCGCTCTCCAAGATTCTTAACTTGACTTTTTCCAGTCTCATTCTGCAAAATCGCGTATTCCTAAAAATATGATAAAAACCCACTCAAAATTACTCTAAAACTTCAGAACAGCCTTAGACCCTCCCACCCCTTAATCCACCAGGCTAAACCGCTTACCACAAGATCACAGAAAGACCTGGACTGTTCACTCTCACAATTCTTCATTTTTAAAACCCTTTATTATTAACTTTCTCCAAATTCTCCTCTAAAGGGGTTTTGGGGTTTTGGGGTTTTGGGGTTTTGGGG